TGGTTCCCTGACTGGAAAACCTAGATTAGTTACTTCTGGAGGCAGAAGCTGCATCAGGACCATCCAGAAAGTCTCAGGAAGGCCCCGGGGATGGCCCAGAGCTGTGCATGAAAGTTAAAGCCACCAAAGGGAGGACTTACATTCTTCTCTAGCTGCAGCTCCAGCAAAGAGGCAGTGACATAAGCTGTCAGAGAAAGGTGATCATCCACACCGCCCTGTGGACAAAGAGAAGAAGCCAGGGAGGAAGTCACAAGGGCCCTTTTCCTCACATTGATACCTTGATTCCCATGACTCTGCCCAGTCCTCTTTGCTAGACGGGTGTCTCTTATGCTACGGTCCCAGATCACGCCATTCCCACCTTCAGGGCATTATTGAAGAGCCTCCCCACACTTTCAAAGCAGCCGCTGGGAAGTTGGTGCTTCCCCAACCAGTGCACGGCATCCTGGATATGCTTTTCATCCACGTAGATGTAGGGCTTTGCCTGGCCGTAAGCCTTGGCCACAAACGCGGTCAGCCTGAGCAGCAGAAAAGAAAAGAAGAGGAAAATACAGAAGGAGAAGCACCTTCAGCTTCTCCACGCTCACTCGCTCGTGACCTTGCAGCTGCTGTCCCGTCAGCTGAGGGTCATGGGAAATAGCCAGAGAGCTCCTGAAAGGTGGACCCAGCAAGCATCCTCCTAATAACGTTCTGGTGGTGGTGGTGGTAGGGACAGACATCTCTCTACTTCAGACCGAGGGAGGCGTAAAAGCCCTGCTAGCAACTCAAAAGGTAACTCTCCCTCTCCTTTTGGTGAATTTAGTGGAGGGAACGTTCTGAGAAAAATGGCCGTTCCACTCGAGTCCCTTACCAAGTGTTCCCCTCTTTGTCACTCTTTCCAAAGGCACTGTAGGAGCCATCATCATGTTTATAAAGCAGCTGCCGCTGGTATCCTGCAGAACAAAGGGGAAAGAGTGCTCTCAGTTCTATCCTGTGGCGCTCTTCAATTTAACCCAACAAGCGTCATGTTCAGACATAAAAAAAACTTCCAAGATGTAAAAATGCAGAAAGCATTTAACGTTCACTAAAAATGACTAAAGGTGGCTGGTATAAGGATGGATGGCCCTGGGATGGCAGGCAAGGTCCCAGCCTAATCCAGCCCTGGATGCCACCTGGTTCTTGCAAAGCCTTGCCTCGCTCAGAAGACCTTCCAAATAAGAAAGCGATAGAAAAAGGCCCGACTCACCACTCTTCATGTGCGCTATTGCCTTATTCTTTATCTCTGGAGTCGCCTGGTTGGTTTTTTCCAAGTACTGGAGTACAACGATGTTGGGAACAAACTTGACCATGTTCTGCTCACCACAGCCAAAGGGCATCTGAAGCAGATGGTCTATATTTTCTAGTGCAGCTCCCATGATATCTCCTGAATGTTAACAAAATAGAGGGAGGAAATATGACAGATATTCCTCCAAATCCAGAAAGCCGCCTTCTTCCTCCTAGGATCTGAAACACAACATCCGGGAAAGTTCTTGCAAACTAAACCAAAGACGAATTGGCCAGGCAGCCATGGGGACACTACACAAAGCCATGGAGCAGCTGCTCAGATGCTGTTCCTCAGTGGGTCAGCCCCACTGCAGATGCTTGACTAGGGATGTTTTTAAAGCAAGTCTTTGCTCAATGGCCAAGACTGCCCAACTTCTATACGCCTAAGAGCCCAAGGCACCGTGCTGCATTTCTGCTTCAATAGCCCTCCTTTCAAATGTTCAGCGAAACGTGCGGAGGTCAAGCGCTAAGCCTGCCACCATGAGTCTGTTCCCTCTCTGCCAAAGAAGACATCTTTCCTCACCGATGACAGATACGGTGGCCCGCCCAGAATCCTGCACAACCGCTTCTGGCATTGTTAGGCCAACGTCCTCAGATGCTGGATCTCCTGGAGGGGTTATATGTGTGAATAAAAACCTGGAATTAAGATAGCTACAAAAACAATCCAGTTGTGGTAACCTTTATTGCACACGTTTTTGCAACTGCCCAGAAGATTCCTTATCTATCAAACAAGTGCTCGTGCAGGGCATAATCAACTCATTTTTCCATTGGGGACCTGAGTGTGATAGGTAGCGCCTAAGGCTGCCCTGCATAAAGACTGAAGCAGGAACCTCCTAGCTGAAGAACACACTCTGCCTTTTCACCTGCCACTCCTTCCATCTCTTCTGTAGCAGGTGGACACATCGCTGCGTCGCCTTCTTATAGCAGAGCTACTTCGCAGAGAACGGGCAACCGGAAAAACATGCTGATCTGTGACCTCTGGGGACCCATCACAAGCCCAGCAATGCTGAGCAAGAGCCCCAGCCCAGCCATACCTGAAGAGCACAGGAATGTGTTCTGGGTCTCTTCTTCAAGGACACCTTCTGGCTGTAGGAGAAAAAAGGAGTTATGGGTTATTTGGCGGTGGGATTTGGAGGACTTTCTCAATGGCAAGACTTTGACTGAGCCCACTTTCTTTGGCTGAAGAAGAGCAGCCATCCATCTGGCCTTGGCCTTGGCAACACAAAGGCTCTGCAAAATTCAGCAGCCATTGACGCTGAAAGAAAATATCCCAGCATCAGCCCCTTCTGGAATGTTGGTTAGTGCCAACTGATATCCGCCCTGACCTTGACGAGTAATGATTTTATCACTGTGTCTGACCGGCCACGCGTGGGAGTGACAGAGATCTTGTTGCCACACAACTCTTGGGTCTCCTCGGCCTCACTGCTCACTGAGATGTTCACGTGCCCTACGAGAAGGC